TTTAAGAGTAATTAAAATATGCAAACTTTTGACAAAAATTCAATCATATTATTAATCGTTTATAATTATACAATTTGCAAATATCATTGAAATTAAAATAATAGAAAATAATTTTTTTTATTAATCACTAATAATTATAACTTTTTTTTAGAAATTATCGTATCATAATAGATAAATACATCCAAACTAGGTTGATACCTACTCATCTATATCAGTATCATTTGTAACTCTTTCCAAAATCATTTATCATAGATTTACAGGTAAAAATTACAAATTACAAATTACTTTCTACTCTCTATCTTCTAGCTTCAACTCATTAAGTCTATCTTCAATATTAGCTATCCAGTCGATACCTTATGTTCTCTTCTCGTACCTCTACCAATCTTGTAAGTACATTATTGTCTATACAGTAGACGGGTCTAGCAATGTTCTGCGCTCGTCGATCAAACATCATGATGTTCTAAAGGCGGATTCTGAAGCTACTGTAAAAATCTACATTGTTAGTAAGTCATGAGTCATGATGGAAAGTATAAGATATGAAACTGTTTCATATACTCTCCAGGATTGCAAAATATCAAAATCAGTATTATTTTGATGTTTAACTAAAGATGCAGCTAACAATTATTTAATTTCAGAAATTTTCCTTGATGATGACCTAGATCTAGATCCACGGTTACTATCGATTAGCCGCTCTATCATCGATTGTCTATCAAAAAGCTTACCTTTCCCCCATCTTAAGCTTGTAGAAGCTATAGATTGAGGTGTATTTACACCAACTACGTACATACTCATCAAATAATCTTTGAAAATAATATTTAATAGTGTTATGATGAGTAAGCACAATAATAGTCTGAGAACTATCTGTGTCTATTATTATATTCTCGTACAAAGAATTTAACAAACTTTGAAGGCTAATATCCTTCAAGCATGAATCAATAAGAATTCTCAAACCAAAAAAATAGGAATATGTCTAAAATACTTATTAAATTTACTTTCCATTTCAAAATTAATGTTTCCAAAATAATTATCCATGCGATAAGTAGTAAAAAAGTTTAAATATTTAAAACTTGTAAAGCAGCTTGAGTAATAGTTGGATAATAACAATCAAATAATAACTTAGTACCTTTATAAAAAAACTTGTAGCATCTCTTTTACACAACATATAATTGTCCATTCATCATCAATTATTTCATACATATTACCAGTGATACGAGTTGCCGGGCGAGCACATTTGATCGCGGAATTATCAAAGGTGGGTTGAGAAGAGGATGACAAAAACGCAAGCACAATTCAGTATATGGCGAAGGAAATTACCTTTTCTAGATTATGAGTATGAAAAGATTACAATCCCTCTCTCAAGATTACAATCCCTCTCTCACAATCTCACTAGAATCGAGAACAAACTCTCAATTCTCCTAAACCCTAATCCCTCTCTCTGAGATCTGATTAGAATCAATCTCTGATTACAATCTGAGTAATCAACCCTAGAAAAGTCGTGTTTCTATTTATATCAAATAGAAATCCTAAAAAGTGCAGGAAACTAGGCCCAGGCCCAAAACTGAGTCGCGGCGGTCGCCCGCGACAGTCGATCGCGAAAGTCTCGCGGTCGACCGTGGGATTCGCGGTCGACCGAACCAAAAACCTGAGAGCAATTTTGATTACAGTCATGACGCGGTCGACCGTGACGGTCGACCGAAAACGTGCGGCGACCGTGGCGGTCAACCGCCTTCAGTTCCAGCTCCTCCTGAGCTTCGTGCACGTTCAGAAGCACCAGCAACCTTCTTGCCTTCTTCTGTTCGTTCCTGCAGTCTTCGACGTTGCCACCCCCGACGACTTCTTCCACGTCTCCATTCTTAAGATACCATGAGAATCATCTATCCTCACACTTCTGATGAGGATCGCTAAGTTCCTGAAGAGAAGATACACTCGTATCAACCAGAGCTATCTTTTAAATCTTTGTTTAGAAGCATTATGAGCATAAGCTATAACCCTAACTTTTTCTATCATGGGTTTAATTTTATTAAATGCACTTTTTAATTTAAAATATGACACATATATACATATAATATAAAAAAATATCACTCTGGCATGATAATAACAAAGATGATTTGATATGATCTATAGCTGCATTATTATTACTTGCATGATCTAGGAAAGAGAAAATATTTTTTAGATATTTCTAATTTGATAGTTCTTCCATTATTAAATTTGTAACATTTATACTAGTGTAAGAATCTTCAAATAAAATAAAAGAAACAATTTTTTTAAACATTTGCTAAGTGTCATCAATCTAATGTGTTGTGATATATAAATAATCAGTTTGTGCTCTAGATATTCAAATATCAAAAGTCAGAAAAAAATTTATAGTTTAAGCTTTGAAAATAAAAAATTACTTTTGTTTATTCCTCATGATAACATTTCAAAATATCACGTTGACAAGATTGGTGAGAAATTTTTTAAAATACGGGATAAAAATCATCTCTAATCATATCCTCAAATTCATCGTCTTTTACTAATTTAAATGAAATATTTTTAAGAACAAACTGATGACCCATTTTCCTGGCTTTAATTGCATCGTAGTTTCATGAACCGAGGCTACCGGAGGTAGATGATTGAGAGAGTAGAGATTGACGAATGTCTCCTTGAGACGTTGTTTGTGCTCTATTGTATTTTTTCAAACGGCATTTAAGGTGGTTAGTGTCGCTCTTATGATGAACTTCAAAGATATGATCGTATAACTCACATTTGGCCTTTTGGTCGGGTGATAAGTTTGTCATGTTGATCTCTGGTGACTCCTATCTTCTCAAAGAAATTCCACACATATGATCTTGGTCTTTTAAAAGCTCTAGGTGTTAGATCATCACTATTGGATTTGGGATCAACATCGGTAGTAAGGGAGTAGCTGCAGGAGTAGTGGGACTCATTTCGATATCGGGAGTTAGATTTTATCCTTCATAATTGGAGGAGGAAGCCATTGCAATTAGATAACTAGAGAGTATTAGAAAGCACAAGAGAGAATAAGAGAGTATAATATTATATTAGAGAGAAAAGGAGAATATTATAGAGAAGTAGATGAGTTAATTTTGGATGAAAAAATTAAATGAAGACCCCTCTATTTATAGAGACCGTCCCCCATCCAAATGATCAAAATATCCTCAAATTTTGATCGTTATTTGAGCTTTTTGGGGTGCTTTGGTCATTTTGACAAAAATAACCGTCATTGTCTATTTTGGCTATTTATTTAGCATGGACTAGGTCTGGTCCGAGTCGGACCGGGCTAAACCGGGTCCAACTGCTAGTAAACTAGCCATTGGACCGGGTAGGATCCAAGCTGCTCAATTCAAGGGCTAAATTTTTAGCCATTGGATCCAGGCCGGATCTTGGGCTACCCGATCCAACGGCAAAAAATTTAGCTGTTGGACGGGATCAAAATCCAAGTCTGGCTAGGCATTTTAGCCCGACCTAGCCAGCCAGTCCTGCGTCCCGGGCGGGTCGCGGCCAGAGGCCCGGACCGGGTTCCTTCGGCCCGACCATATTCCGAGTCAGGTTCCGAGGAACCAACCTGGATCCGGAGCCCGGTGTAGCCCGGATTTCCTGGCTTTTCTCGGGTACGGGTTGGTTGCACGAATGGACACTTCTAGATCCGCCATTGTTTGTATCGCTTCTAGAATCACAAGGCCCTAACGTGTATTCCAACTTGGGGTGCACGTCGTGTGCTTGGAAACGAGTATCAATATAAACAAAGTCATTTGTGCATTCTAAAAGGCTTCTCATTTTAATATACACTGGGTCTTGTGGTCTAAGTAGTAGGTGTACCTTCCATTAACATGGTCTTAAGGTCAGGACGCATAGGGCTTTTGGTAGCTAGTTATGCTGTTGGAATATTTCATAACAATGATATGAAACGAATTATTAGTTGATAGTTATTTAGCTATAACAGCAAATTCCATTTGATCCATTACTAAAATGACTCTTAAAATCGCTATCATTGCGTACATCAAAACTCTGAAATTGTGGAAATGATTGAGGGCTATATTCTTATATTCAAACACACCTCACACGTTGAGGACCTTTTTATGAAGCGAAATCCGGGCTCATGCAGGCGGTGTTAATTTTTAGAAGATCTACTTTAAATTCAAGACTGTGAGATTGGACATGTGCTGCTACCATCTTAAAATCTCAATCATTACAACAAAACTCTGAAGTTCTAAAAATATCTCTAACTAGATTAACAAAATCATTTTATATTTAAGATTGGTAATCTTCAAAGATTAACTCTTTTAAATTCTAAAAAAAGGTACGAGTATATAGAGTACAAAAAAACCAATTGTTTGCATCCAACGTTCCAGTTCATCAATTGATTTCTTCAGAGCTCCTGAGCGTGGAGGAGGAAGAGTTGGATAGATTGGATCCGTATGATCATCCTGAACACGTGTTGGAGCAACTTCAGAAGAAGGACCCTCTTCAGCCCCATCGTCTTCAGGAACTGAGGGGATCGATTGGGGCATTTCGTCCTCTCCGTCAGTAGAACGCTCAACGAGCGCAGACTTCATCGCATCCCCCATTATTTTGGCCCTCTTGGAATTCTTGGCCATGACAGGTATCCGCTTACGGATTCTCCTGTCATACTCACCTTGCTCAGCAGCAGAAAGAGCT